GTGTGTTAAAAAACAATTTTGATATAGCCCAGCAACAAAACGTAACAAATACACTAACTGACTTTTACTTTTTAAATATTATTACTTAATACTATTCTATTGTTAACCCATGATGCCCCACTGCGTAGCAAAGATCGTAGTATAGATTTAATTTAATTTAATAAATTATGTTATTTTTTTAAATATTTATATATAAGTTTCAATATAACATTTTTCAATTTTTCACCGCATAATAACATTTCTGTTTTACCAAAGATTGACTGGGGGAAAATACTATAAAGCATTAAGTTTTGTAATGTCGTCAATTAAGAATAAATAGTAAAGTAATTATATATATGTATAATAATTTTACTATTTATATGTGTGGGTGGCTAAAATCCTTCTCCCTATTTATAAAATGTGAAAGTGAGTTTGTGTGTTACTTCTTGGCGCCTTATCAACACAATCATTCATCACAAAATTTTGTATACACTTACTATTTAAAAAAAAATCTTTAATGCACAATAAAATTCTATGTACATTTGGCGGACTTAACACCGGACGGTGTTCTCTACCAGTCAACCATTGGCAAACCGAGAAATAAATAGGCGGTGCATTATTGTATTGAAGGAATTTAAAAATTAATACTAATATAACAAACTAAAAAATAAATAATAATATAACAAACAATTAACAATATTAGAAGAGCAAATGAAATAATCTGTGACTCAAACAAAGTAACCAGCAAGATTAAGTTTAAAAGGAAAGTGAGAAAAAAAAAATATAAAAAATAAATACATAAAGGGAATGAAGTTTACAAAACGACCTTTTTTATCTCTGTATATAATATAATCCATATATTCCAGTAACGTGGATAAAATCGCGAGTAAGACCTAGTATTTTCTAAAAGTTTGTTTTTAATAATTTTTATACCATTCAATCATTCAATCATTAATCATCTATCTTTTTTAACGCGCCACCTACCTACTTATGCTTTAATTCTTTCTACCCAAAGGTTGTCTGGAAGAGATTGCTTAGCAATAAGACCGCCTTTTGTACTACACTATATGTATAGAAAATTGTTTTAACAAATCATGTTATGTTGGTACAATAAAGTGTTAAATAAATAAATAAAATTTACATAGAAAAATTCGCTAGTAAACATTAATATGTATATAAAAATGTAGTTGAATAAAACAGCTTTAAGTGTGTCTCTTTTAGTTAGTACCTTACATCTTTTGTAGACTTTAACAGGAGCACACAATTAGAGAGCGCACGAGTGCCGCCGTGCACGTTGTATGTTGTTTTATCTCGTTATTTGTCAAGATGTCGAATTTAATTCTGTAAAAGTCTTAATACGAATACTAGCTATAACATGCGAATTTATCGACATGAATTATGATAAAAAAATGTGTATATCAAGTTATATTCAAATCTATTGTTTGACTGAACACACAGGATACATCGTCCAACTCACATAATGTGGGGGGAAAGGGATTGTTAGTAATACGAATTAAAGGCCCTATTGCTAGCAAGCTCTGTCAGGTCGACCGCCGCGTGGTTCCTCCTGGAAACCATTGTGATTAATACTTGTTGCATTTGTCACGATGGGCTAACTGACCTGCTTTCATCCTCATTTATCATTCCTTACTGGTACCCTGCCAGCATATATCGATAGCGCAGATGGGGTTATCATACCATTATCACCCATTAAAAAAAAGGACACCCATAATGGAGTGTTGAACTCAAATGTACTCGAAAATCAATAAATATAGATGGTACCTACAGGGTCATTCTATATGACAGTTATAAACTGTCCTATAGAAGGCCTTTGTTAAGCAGTGAATAATTAGTGGCTGGAATAATGATTGGATTGGAAACTGGCTAAAGATCATCTCCTGAAGAAGTCTATAGAGCAATCCTATATATTTCTATAGTCAATGAAATGCTGAAAGGATAATTTAGTAAAAAAATAAGTGTTAAAGCAATCTTTGGGCCACAAATATTTATAGCTGTTGATAATATATAAATTGATGAACTAATGGTTCACATCTGTAAAGAGACATCACATCTGTATAGAGATTTTTCTAAAAAAAAAGAAAACTTAAGATAATTAGAGATTTTTTTTCTAGAATATAATAGAAATGATCTTTATACAAATAGGCTTGTTTATAAGCTCTTTTAAATCATCACTTTTTTATAATTCCACTGCTGAGTTTGGAATGTTGTTATCTGCGGGTAAATCCCGCAATAAACTCAACAGTTACTGTTCAATTCCTTTATGTATAAGATAATTTTACATTTAAATGGGTACTATGTTTACAATTAATGTTTAGTTCTATTTATATACATTTGCCTCCAACTTGCTGGAGTTTCGTCGAGTGACCACAGTGTATTTGTGTTCAAACGTTTTTTGTTTCAGTTAATTTTTTTATATTATTTTTTGTTTAATATTTTTGTGTAATATTCCTTTTTATATGTTATTGTACTCATGCCTTCCTGGGTGAGCGTATTGGAAGACTGTAAGGCTCACCCAGTGAATGCAATAAATAAATAAATTACTCAATGTGAAATAATCAAGCAAACATGAGCAGAGCCATCAAAAACAGCACCCGTTCACGAGTATGACGAATGAGCCCACCGTCATTGCGCGGCCTAATAACTTGCCTTTAAAATCTAACTGCCATTACTTAGCGAAACTCATTGGTGTTAGTAACAATATTGCGACATGTGAAACAAAGTTTGTTGACCAACAACTGGAAGGTTCATTAATGCGTCCCTTGAGGTTGTGACTTTTGGTTGCTTTTGTTGTGAACGTCACCTCCACGACTTATAAGGACTTATAAGTCGAAAACTTACATCGACTAGGTCGTAACTAGTTCACGTCCGCCTTCTTGATATTTCCAATTGTATTTGGACCAATTTGTAATTATTTGAAAAACTACAATCAAACAAATAAAATTTTTCCATAAAAGAACTAAAATTAAACACGAGTATGTCATTTTATTTTATACAACTTAGAATGGCAAACAAGCTGACGGCCCACCTAATGGAAAGTGATAACCATCGCCTAGAGACATGAGCAGTACCATAGACATAACAGAGTATACTGTTTCGCCCATGATACCTCCCATGCGTTGCCATTCCTGAGGACTCGGATGTTATTCCTCTGTACCCAGTAAATTCACGCCATATCCCACCCTTTAAACCGAAACACAGTTATGCAAACACAACTGCTTCATGGTTGAAACACGAATGGGACAGAGGTACCCAAGCAATCGACTTTTGTACAAAGTCTCCCTGTGGTAAAACATACAGTATGTCATACACATAGTTTGTGAAACTTACGGTTATTGTTTCAACATTTTACAGCAACCCATTGCAATATTAAAAACATAAAATATTCCAATACTATATGTTATTTTGAATATGTTATTATTTTTAATATTGGAATATATAATATTAATGGAACATAAGTTTTTAAAATATTAATTATTTATTTATTTACACTTTATTGCACCAAGTAAAAAGAGAAATAACAGATACAGTCAATATTAATGAGAAGTGATACAAAAGGCGGCCTTATCGCTAAGCAATCTCTTCCAGACAACCTTTGGGTAGAGGACATTGAGAAAAAGACAAAGAGTAGGCGTAATTATTAAAGTAAGTAGGAGTAATTATTATTTAATTCTGAATAATAATTAACATTTTAAAAACTTATATTCAGTTTCAATGGTTAATTACTTATTTTAGAAAAAATATCATCACCCGATACCCACTAGCATTAGATAGGATAAGAGATAGCAGCAAATATGCACTTTCTATTTTTTAATTATAAGTAATAATCAAGCATAAGATTTACATGATGATAAATTACCACTGTAACCCATAACGCTTGCAATACCATAGGCCATTAGTGATATATAAGAACCTTGAGTAATTAAGTTGAGTAATTATAGGCTACAATTTTATCCTTTAACTAGAAGCATAGCATATTAGCATATTGACAGAAATATGTGAAACATAAATTACTCATGCAAATTTTGGTGAATTCATAAATATTTTAAACATTACCCTTCAAAGTTTGATTACATGGTACAATTACATAGTGTTAAGGAAATTTATTTGGAAGTATAGTATATTTTGTCAGTATGTTTAAAGATCACGCGTATTCCGTTGCTTTCCCATGAGTGTCGTAAGAGGCGACAAGGGAAGGGCGATGGATGGGCAACAGTATTCCAAGAGTGACACTGCTGCCCATCCATCGCTCTTAAGAATCGCTCATTTTAAGAAAAACATGTGTAAAAACCTAACTGCGGTTGCCAACCCGCCTGCCAAGCATGACAATTACTGGCAAAACTCCCCTTATAGAGAAGGCTTATGTCCAGTACTGGACAGTTAATGACTGAAATAATCAAATATTTAAATATAGATTAAAATAAAAAAAAATATATTATATTATCTTAAATATATTTTTGGCATTCGTGGTAACTCTAATTGACGTTACACAAAATAAAAAAGATTAAAAAAAAAGTAAAAAACATACAATAATATTAATCAATTTTCATAATATCCCCTATTTACAATTAATATCAATGATATTTTGCAACTTATTTAAATAAATTATAACCTATAAAATCTTTTTTAAATAAGATTGTATGGTTAATTATATGTATGTAAATAAATATTATATACAAAATTAAATTCCTTATATTATTTTTTAATATAATGTTGAACAGCTTAGGCATATAATAGATTAAGAACTAACATCAAAAGTCCAGTTACGAAAAAGTAATTCACAATAAATAATACAATTTTAAAAATTAGATTTTATGAAACAAGCCAAAATTCTATATAATTTTTATACTTATTACATAATATTTAATACAATTTACTAACAAATACGAGTAATTATTTATGTTTATTAAATATTTCTATTTTAATATTTGCATAGAATAAAATATTTCATCTAAAAATATTTATGACAAAATTCACATAATAAATACTTAATTTAATATCATTGTCAGTTACATATTATATTTTTAATATATATAACAAATTGAAAAATAAAGATTTATATAATTAATCAAAGCACAACCAAAACTGCCTAATAAACTTAATAATTAAACTTGAATAATTATTCAGAAATTTCGATTTGTTGTGATAGATTAATGCTAACAAACAGACATTGGTATAAATGTTCTTATCATAACAATTTGTATTATATCTATTATATAAGTGAGCAATAAGAAGTGATTACAGTAAATTACCGCAGAAACATGTGATAAATTTCCCATAAACTAAGCGGAAAATTATCTAGATCACGTATATTATAATGGGAGCAACCAATCTTCTTTTATCATATCTGTTCCTTTTTCAGCTATCATTATAGTAGGTGCGTTTGTATTACCTCTAATTATCGTTGGCATCACAGAAGAATCAATTACTCTTAAATTTTTTATCCCATACACTCTCAATCTTGAATCTACTACTGCACCATTGTCCCATTTTGGTCCCATTTTACAAGTGCCTACTGGATGGTAAATCGTTGAGGTGTATTGTATTAATATACACTTGAAATATTCGTAAGTACCCCAAATATAATTGGCACAAGCCTGTACAGGAATTTTGATAAAACTAGCACCGCTAGCCCGAAACGCCTCTGTATTTTCTAAACTTACAGCATACTTGATACCAGCAATTAAAGTATCTATGTCCCGTTTTTCAGTAAAGAACTTACTATATATTAACGGTTGACCAAAAACAGGATCAGTATAATTTAAAAGTAAAAATCCTCTACTTTTAGGTGTAAGTAATAAAGGTCTTGCAGAAATTCCATCATAAAAAGATAATGGGAATATATTACTAGCCAAATACGTAGTTGGATCTGAATAAAAATCTCTTATGTTACGACCGTCAAAATGAAATTGTATATCTGGTGCATCTTGTTCAGCAAACTCAGTTTTGATAAATGCTGTACCACTTAAAGTACTTGTAGATGCTAAAGGTCCATTTTTCTTAGGAAATTGATGATAATAGTTATAAACCTCCTGCATAAGTTGATTACCACTTACTGCTGTGGAGGTTTTGTTAGATAATGAAATAATCAGAGCATCTGTGGTAACGTGATCTTGCAAATTTTCTCCGACTCTAAGATCGGAATATACAGGTATATTTAGAGACTCTAAATGATGCTTTGGTCCAACACCTGACAGCATTAAAACTTTTGGCGAATTTAATGATCCACTGCTTAAAATTACCTCTTTTCTGGATCTTACATTATAAATTATACCATTTTTTACATATTGTACTCCATATGCAGTCTTAGTAAATGGATCTATCATTATTTTAGTCACAAATGCTTCGGTAACTATGTGTAGATTTGGTCTTCTATGGCGTATAGGCCTGATATAAGCTGTATTAACAGAAAATCTACGTCCATCTTTAGAAGTGGACTGTGCAATATCTGTGCCTAAGTTAGATGCACCGTTTAAATCTTTTATTGGTAATCCTTTTTCATTAAAAGCACGGACTAGCATCATAGTGTTAACATCTACATACTGGTATCTTTCTACATTAAGAGGTCCCGTTGTAGAATGATAATATAAATCATGAGATTCTATATCTTGATTATTTTCAGCTTTTTTGAAGTACGGCAACACCTGTAATTTTAAACAAATCATGTCTTCTGAGCGATTCATCTCGGTAAAAATACCATGCAGCTTAGGAATAAACATTCAATTAGAATATGCACTCGTTTCTATACAAACAGTGATATGTGCTGCTAAATTTGTCTTAATTAAAAGTGTGCCTTGAACTTGATAAAATATTACGTTTAGCCTTAGAATTTTGTAAATCTGGTAAATATTGACTTTCTTTCCTGTCTTATACATTATTATAGGATTATAATTCAATAAAAATTCAAGTGTCAATAAATTTTCATGGAAATGTAAATCTTAGATTTAGGTGCTAGTTATAAAGTTTGGTTTTTTCGAAGTTTTTTCAATACATATATATTTTTGGGAAAAGAAATTAATTACAAACTCCATGTATATGATTATTTACAATCTACAATACAGACCTCAGCGTAACTCCATCCATGATTTCCTGCTTCTGCCCATGAATCGTAATCTCTTCTGTTACCTCTTATGTATAGCAAGTAATTGACAGCACTTGAACCTCCCATTGATTTTCCTCTGAAATAAAAGTATGTAAATAAGTACCCATTATTATAAAATATTCTTTCGTTGTCTTTCCAATTAATATATACCATTAATAGTCCAATAAACAACTATTATATACGAAGTAATAATTTTAGATATACTCGTACTATTTATTGTATTTTAAATTTATTGTTTCAGGCAAACTTTAATATAAAACATGGAGTATTAAGGGTGAACAAATCAAATTAAATTATTGAAGTCATAATTTAAAGAATGCCATTAAATTATATATTAAATAAAATAAATATCGTCATCATAACCCACGCAAGTTCCATAATTAGTCGAGTCTTCTCCCATACAGAAAATAATACAAAGCTACTGTTACCATGCTAACCAAGAAAATTGTTAGGATTTTATACAGTTATTCGAATTATCTAATTGTATATTGTTCTCATAATTTATGTAAATGAGATGCTTTTTTTTTTTTTTTATTTTTTTTTTTTTTTTATAGAACTTAGAATGGCAAACAAGCTGACGGCCCACCTGATGGAAAGTGGTAACCGCCGCCCATAGACACGAGCAGTACCATGGACATAACAGAGTATACTGTTTCGCCCATGATACCCCCCATGCGTTGCCATTCCTGAGGACTCAGGTGTTATTCCTCTGTACCCAGTAAATTCACGCCATATCCCACCCTTCAAACCGAAACACAGCCATGCAAACACAACTGCTTCACGGTTGAAACACGAATGGGACAGAGGTACCCAAGCAATCGACTTTTGTACAAAGTCTCCCTCTGGTAAACCTTTACATCAGTGATTACGTTTTGTTATTGTATCCCTCATTTTTCATATTTTAAATTATAATTAAAGATTATGCCCATACTATGAGTACTTAACTGATTTTGATAGAATTTCTGTGGGGTCAATCAATCTGTAAGTACATTCTTTTAGGTGAGAAGAATTTTCCAAATCGGTTAGAACTGACGAAGTTTTGAGGTAACAAACATAAAAAATACAACCGAATTGAGAACCTCCTTTTTTTATAAGTCGGTTGAAAATACTCATAATAAAACATTTTCTCCCGGTGCATTACTGTTTATTCATAGTGTTGTTGTTATAATAATTATTATTGTAATTATTTCTACCATATAAAATCTAATATATCTACAAAATAAATCTACCAACTTATACTAAATATATGCAACAACTTAACAACGCAATACTTGCTACAAATCAAATAGTTTTCTAAACTATCTCGTGAGTTAGGTTAGAAAGTAGTAGAAATTCGCTAAAAATGCTTTTTTGTTTTCTACTAAACTACTTTGATAAAATAATATTTACCTTACATTAAAACAACGATTTGTTTATTAGTTAATTTACGTGTAGTCAGGAACCAATGTGCATATTATTACAACAAAACTTTTAAAGTTTCTAATAAATAATTAAACTTGTGGTAATATGTGGTAATAGGTGATAATATGTGGTTTGAAGCATTAGTGTCTTTTGAGTATTCTCATATGACTCACCATTTAGTAGTTGTGATATATTCTATATTATATTAAATATGAAAAAAAAAAAACAAAGAATAATAACAAAACAAAAATTAAACGTTTAATTGTATGACAAATTCACTATCACTATGCTTACAGCTAGTATAATTTATAATGACTCCAATCCATCTTAATCATATCAGCAACTTTTTCACCTATCATTATTACAGGAGCATTCGTATTGCCTCGAGGTATATCAGGCATAATAGAAGCATCAGCTACTCTTAAGTTTTTTACACCATATACTTTTAATCTTGGATCAACTACGGCATCTTTATCCCAGTGAGGTCCCATTTTACATGTTCCAGTGGGATGAAATATTGTACCTGTATAATGTGTTATCAAGCAATAAAAGTAATCATAAGTTCCCCACTTATAATTTTTACAGGCATCAACTGGATGCTTTACAAACTCCACGCCATTTTTTCTAAAAGCTTTTGTATTTTCTAATTCAGTTATGAAGTCCAATGCTGCTATTAAAGTATCTGCATCTCTTTGAACAGTAAAAAATCTAGGATATATTAATGGTTGGCTAAATACTGGATTTGTACGATTCAGTCTTAAATAACCTCTACTTTTAGGTAATAATAAAATTGGCTTAATACTTATACTATCATAATATGCGAAGGGAAAAATCCGTGATGCTAAGTATGTTGTTGGATCGGAATAAAAATCTCTAAGATTTCTTCCATCGAAATGAAACTGTATATCTGGTACAGTTTTATCTTCATCCGCATATTTAGTACGTATAAAAGCAGTTATTTGTACCGGTCCAATTGATGCTAATGGACCGGTTCTATACTTGGTTCTGTAAAATTTAATAACCTCTTGTAACATGCCATCACCACTCACAAGAGTTGATGTTTTATTTGATAATCTTATCAACATAGCTTCAGTAGTGGTATGGTCATGAAGGTTATAACCTACTTTTAAATCCTTTATGACAGGTATACCCAGTGATTCTAGATCATCTTTGGGTCCAATACCTGATAACATTAATAATTTAGGAGAATTTATTGCACCCGCACTTATGATTACTTCTTTTCTTGCATGTACTTCGTACCATACTCCATTTCTTATGTATTTAACACCATAAGCCTTTTTTCTTGTTGGATCGATTAAAATTTTAGTTACTTCAGCATGAGTGCGAACAATTAAATTAGATCTTTTTGTTCGTATAGGTCTTATGAATGCTGCATTTGTTGAAACACGTCTGCCATTTTTGGATGTTGTCTGTGCAGCCATTGTTCCTATTTGATATTTAGCATTAAAGTCAACCAGCGGTAATCCCATTTCTTTAAATCCTTCTATAAGCGTGGCAGCATTTTGATCTACATATGAAAATCTTTCTATATTTAAAGGTCCTCCTACAGAGTGATAATATTTATCAACGGCTTCAATATCACGATTATTTTCTGATTTTTTAAAATAAGGCAATACCTGAAAAATTAATATTAATTAATTTTTTTTTATTTTAATTTCTTTTAATTAATACTCATATAAAATATCATCTATATCAATATTCACTTCCGCATAACTCCAACCATAGTTGCCTAAATTTGCCCAATCGTCGTAATCTCTTTTGTTACCTCTCATATAGATAAAATAGTTTATTGCACTAGATCCACCCATCACTCGTCCACTGTAATAAAATATACAATAATATGTAAAGTTTTAGTTACATTATTGACTTAATATGCTCAAGCTTAACACGCAAGTAGTATGTTTGATTTACCTAAATCTAAGGGTAATGATAAAAAATTCTATTTATTAATGAAACATTGAAACTTTCATAGATGCAAATAAATTATTTAGCAACCAAAAATAACTCAAGCGTGAACTTGTTAACAGAAACAGACTCGTGCCTAATTGTAGGACGTGGGACACTGTAGGATTAAAATTATTATAATAATAAACAACTCTTTTGAAATATCTCAGTAATAAATTATTCAGATAATTTTTAACGGTTTAAACTTTTAGTACAATATTAATAAACAAATTCTAAAAAGCAATTTAAGCACATAGAAAATTGGTTAATTTTGCATGAATGTAAACTAATTTTATTAAAAACATTTGCATTAATTATCAGTGAAACTAAAGCGTCATTTATTATCAGTATGACTTTATCGTGAAATGCAAGTGCAAAGTCATTAGTTAGTTACTTACCATGTTTTGCGTGGTTATGTAATTTAATAACATTCAAATAGTGATTAGTATTGTTCTATTGACTCACTACTTCTACTCATTACAGATTTTCCATGTATTTCTGAATCAACTAAACAAACTTAAACGGAATAAATAAAAATAATATCCTGGTCTATTAAGTTATATAGTTTTTTAAAAGTTTTATCTTTTGACACAACTCATATTCATACAGTTATTAACTATCTGATCCGAGTATTAAAATGTGGAAAGGAAACTTTATTTTCTTTCTTCCTTCTTTCCAGATAGAGGATGTAGGTATTTTTTAAAGTATCGTAATAATGCCTTATAGTTTAATTGAGAATAATCAGATTGGCTTACATATATTCTTATCTTGCTTGATTAGTTCTAAAATCATTCGGAATGTTTAATAAGGAATAGTTAGCGGGTAGTTGAAATAAATCGTTATCCTAAATTCCTCAGACCATATGCACTTCTTGCCACATGATCATTTTTCCTTGTTTCATGTAATGTCCACATGTAATTCTGAATGTCTTCTTTCTCACTTCAAACGGTATTATGTGTACCGCCGCCATCAACACACGCTTAGTATGCTGTAGCGAAGCAGGTCAGACCTACCTTCTACCTCTACTCATAATTAAGAGATCTGAACAGTCTTGAAATTATTTACTAATTCCAAAACAAGACGCACTCAAGATAAATATTTGTAAGTAAATCCCCATTAAGTTTACATTTAAGATAGAAGAGATATTTCAATCTCTTTTGAATATCGTAAAGCTTTGCATGAATGCAATCTACCGTTTATTTCGTCGTACCATCTACATTAAATTTCAATCTTATTATTATTAGATTACATATTATTATTGATTAAAGATTATGAATTTATTTTAAAGTTACTGCTACTTTCCTAATACCAATTACTGAAAGAAAAGTTGTTTTAGTAAAAATGTTTACAACTGTATGTACCTAATCCAACGACAAGTTTGACCGAGTTGTGCCCTGCAAGTCAATTCTTCTGGTTGTGTTCTATATGACCAGTCTATACTAGAGCCACCTAGTGTAGGAGCGAAGGCAGGAACACTTGTAACATCTGGCTCTTCAGGGCCTGCTTCCAGAAGCAATACCTAAAGAAACAGAAATAAGTTCCATTAAACTTTATATTACTCTGTGCCTATTTTTTTACTTATATAAAAATATAAAAAAAAACATGGTCACGATGTTTATTCAAGCTAATCTCTGAAACTACTCAAATAAATTTAATGAAATATCAATTTTAATATATTTTGTTTGCTCTATTTTAATATATAGGATATTTTATATCTCGATAAGAATTTTTTTTTTATTATTATACAACTTAGAACGGCAAACAAGCTGACGGCCCACCTGATGGAACATGGTAACCGTCGCCCATAGACATGAGCAGTACCGTGGACATAACAGAGTATACTGTTTCGCCCATGATACCCCCCATGCGTTGCCATTCCTGAGGACTCAGGTGTTATTCCTCTGTACCCAGTAATTTCACGCCATATCCCACCCTTCAAACCAAAACACAGCCATGCAAACACAACTGCTTCACGGTTGAAACACGAATGAGACAGAGGTAACCAAGCAATCGACTTTTGTACAGTCTCCCTCTGGTTATGTTACGATAGCAGCCAAACCGACTAATATTATTACAGTGAATATCATAAACCGTAATTTCACTAAATACGAGTATATTAGTGAAATTATAATAATGTCTAAATCGGAAAAGTATAATTATTTGTAGTATAATTGTCTTTATTCACACACCTAATTTCGGGACCTTAACCCTTTACTTTCGGACTTTATGAGTCCTTATTCATGAGCACCTGTCACGATTGTATTGCGAACAGAGTATTTAGTGTGAGTTTTACGGGGATTTATGTCATAATTGTGTTCAAATTTTCATCAATAATTTGTATTGAAAATTTAGCTATGCCTGGAAAGATTAAATTCCCCAGATAGAACCGACCCGTTGTGAACTTAGACGTAAACGTTAATCTTTATACAACTTACACTACACTCTTCATTGTGATGTAATATACTTACTTCATTGTGAAATAAATTCGTATTATACGAGTATTACTCCACTGAGTTTATAGTAAGGTTGATAAAAACAATTAAAATTCCACTCGTGTTACTTATTGTGAATAAAATAATTACCATACAATCGAACTCACAATTGTTCAACAAAAATAAAAAAGTCCTTTAAAGTAATAAATTAAGACAAATAGCAAAATAATCTATTCATAGATACCCTAGAATCTCTAACAGATATATAATGGGAGGGAGGTAATTATTAGTAATGCGGACTGCCAATCCCATTGCCAGCAATATACCCTGTCAGATCAACTTCCACGTGGTCCCCCTAACAACCATCGTTCTGAATTCCAGGTGTATTCATCACAATAGGCTAATTGACCTGTTTTCATTTTCACCTATCAACCCTCACTGGTGCCCCACCATCGTATACCCGTTGGCGCAGGCGGGGTTACCATTCCATTATCATCCATTAAAAATATACATATAATAATAACATATAATACAATAAGAAGATTGATAATGTTCAGCGTTTTGTATGAGGACCTGAAGTCGCCACTCATCTGTCATATAATAGGTATCAACTTGATACATTCTTTCAATTTAAGGATTAATATTAATCTACAAGTCGATATTGATATTATTATGACATTGGATTCCATCTCCCGCGCTACTATAATAACTACAAAACATTTATTAATAGGCTTCTTCCTTATGTTTCCAAAATATTTCTTAATATTATAAAGTTTAGGTAGGCTGCTTAAGTTCAGACAAATTTTAATATCGAAACAATCTCTCTCGAACATAAATGTATCGAACATTATTTCATAAATTATTAACGAGCTTCGCTATACAATTTTGATATTTAAATATTTTTTTATACAACTTAGAATGGCAAACAAGCTTAAGGAAAGTGGTAACCGTCGCCGATAGACATGAGCAGTACCATGGACATAACAGAGTATAGTGTTTCGCCCATGATACCCCCTATGCGTTGCCATTCCTGAAGACTCAGGTGTTATTCATCTGTACCCTGTAAATTCACTGCCATACCCCACCCTTTAAACCGAAACACAGCTATGTAAACACAACTGCTTTACGTAGAAACACGAATGGAACAGAGGTGCCTAAGCAAACAACTTTTGTACAAAGTCTCGCTCTGATAAATATGTAAAATTAAAAATAGTATCTAGAGTAATAATTTTGACTTTTTCGGTGTTATGGGATTCATCGTGTTTTATAAGTTTTGTACAGAAACAAGTTTGAGCACAATTTCACAGAAATGATAAGCATTTCATAAATATTGACGACTTTCGTGAAAAGTGACCTTTACGCTTTGGTGGTGTTTAATTAGGGATGCTACTGCCCATTAATCGACCATTAAGTTACCTTAGTCGTCTCTTACGACACCCACGGGAATGGAAACAGACCTTACTGACCATCAGATCCGAGATCTTATTTCCGCAAAGCAACGTACTGAACAATGTATCATGAGAGTGTTTAAATGAAAATCTACCGGAATCCATTATAACAGTTATACTGTGATTTAATTTTAAATGAGGTAATTCTCGCTTCAAAGTAAATCACACAATAGCTAGATAACAATATAACATAGCCGGACAAAATAAATTTCATAATTTAAAATGTACTGGTCAGTTTGGCGTGTCGACCTTGGCCTTCATTGTATTGTTAAAGCCAAACCGGTGTAACATGCAGTCCGAGACGGTTTAAAATATAATTAATTTCGTTCGGAATTCTAAATAGACATTGAGTTGTTGAACTTTTATCTAGTTTTTTAGTTGATTCACTGCCGTGACAACACACTAAAAGTGACAACGATTAAATAGGTTTTTCTTGACATATTGGATGCTTTCTAATGTGGTCGGCGAAATGTAAACAGTTCGAGTATCACGTTTACGATTAGATTAAATTCTTATTAATATTATAAATTAACGACTTTATTTACTTTTTTTTTAAATATAGCCGATATTCGATGTCTATGTACAAATATAATGGGAAATTGATGAATGTATTTTAGTCGTTTCCGACAATTGTTTCTACTTCATCCGAAAACCTTCTTCAGGAGGCGTTTTATGCTTATACACTTCGTAATGCGAGGCGAGACACAGTGTACATCATAGTGTCTCGCCTCGCACTACGAGGTGTTTGCAAGGAGAAATGCGTTAATTAATTTCCCGTTACACATATGTATGTATATATAACATAATCATTTAAAAATAATGCAGCCCATATTCCTCGCTGATAATGTAGTTTTCTATAAGTGAAAGATTTTTCAAATCGGTATATATTTTTGAATCCATTACAAACAAAAAAAAATCGTTCCTCTTTATAACATTTCTTTATACGTTTTCAATATTCAGTCACCATCTCCCAAGAGAAAGCCTTAACATCCTTCAGACATTATTTGTTCACAATGCAGTCCAGACAAGCCACTAATACTGTGACAAGTTTAGGCTAAGTGAGCTAGAGGGTGTGCCCTAACGAGATAGTTTGATGCTATTAAAAGGGCAGCTGTGGTTATACAAATGTCATGCAACGCAAGACCGTACTAAATTCAAGTGGATATCCTCAAGCTGCTATCCATTATATAGTTATAATATATACAGCATGAAAAAAATTTAAAACGTGATTTTTTTTCCAATACCTAAAGGTAGTATACAAGCATACAGCCCGTCTGATGGTAAATGATTACTGTAGCCTATGAACACCAGTAACACTAGGGATATCACGTGCACGTTGCCAACCCTGAAGAAACCTAAATATACGCTTTTTGAAAAACCCCATACTGTAGCTCCTAGGGAAATTCTGGACAGGGACAGGGGAGCTCATTTCACAGTCTGAGCGTTCGTGAAAACTAAATTAAATGAATGGATGAATAATTGAGTATATTTGCATTATACAATATAGGAAATAAGCAAGACAATTAACAAACACAACGATACAATTGTATAAGTACAGTAAGGTGTCACATAATCACACAAATTGCCTGATCCTCAAACTAGGATATCCTATATGTATTGGGGCACAACCCACATCCAGACCCAAGCCAATTGGGAAAAGTTCCTTTCCTAAATTGATCTTAATTTGTTTATTTTTCTATGATTAAACCAATGATTTTGAAGTTTGGTATACACGTAGTATTTGTAATAGGTATAGGCTAAGTACTTCTTATCTCGGTATTTCACCACTCCGGTGACATAAACAAAACTGCGTGTAAAAATAACAAATAATAAATAAGTAAAATTATAAATTTTAATCGAGTTATCCGAAAACGATTACATAGCTTTTAACAACAGCTCTAAAACACTGCCTGATAAATCAATTAACTGTGCAAATTTGAGAAGCCATAAAAACATAATGATTCTATTATCTGCGAGATTGTATATAATTAACAATAGCTGTTTTATAGATAATAAATTTAATGAATTACATATATTTTTTTATACAACTTAAAATGGCATACAAACTGACGGCCCACCTGATGGAAAATGGTAACCGTCACCTATAGACATGAGCAGTACCATGGACATTACAGAGTATACTGTTTCACCCATGATACCCCCCATGCGTTGCCATTCCTGAGGACTCGAGTGTTATTCCGCTGTACCCTGTAAATTCACGCCATATCCTACCAGATATATCCATATACGCCAGTTTTGTATTCGATTTTGATCCTTATTCTTTCAATTGACAGTCCATCTTACGCCTTCAATTGTCTAATTATTTTTTTTATTAAAGTTTCCTTTTTAATTTAAATTATATATGTCTTCTAAAGCAAAATCTTGAGTTATGAGTCATATCCCAAGATTTTAATTCATAACTTATGACATAGCTGTTCAGAGTATACCAAAACCAAAACCAAAGTAATATCGATGCGGAAAGAAAACCTGTAATTTATTAAAATAACTGTATTGCTAAAATCAAATGGTAATTAATGAGTACGCACGGCGTCTTTGGTGATCAACAGCAAACTGATTTGGGCAATTAAGTTATAAAATAGGTAAATTCTGACGCAACTGATGCACTTTTTTTTATAGAA